GTATCCAGGTGTTGCACGGTATCCTTTAATATATAAAGATATCCGGAGCAGTTAACGACGCTTGTCAGAGTCGCGATTCATATGTGAGCGCATGGTAATGGGTCGACGGTTCGGCGAGTCATCGATTTCGGGGCTAGGTGGTAAACGGTTCTAGGATGTTGGTGTTATTAGAAGGGGTTGGATAACCTCGTAGGGTGGGCACGGGGCAAAACCGTTCGAATCGTGCATCGGTTAAGCCGAGAATGATTGCCTCTAATTTCTCTCGGCCGTGGCGCAAGAAACTTCCTAATGCTTTCAACATGTTCGCTGCTAGTCGGTATCAGAGCGCGGGGCTCGCGGTGGTCGGTTTTTGCGAGACCGCGTGGGTGGCGTGGGAGCCGGTTGCTTGCGCCGAATCTCCTACGACACGAAAACAGAACGGTCAAGTCTCGCTTCCCCGATTAAAGCAGGCGAGCTTCATTACTGGCGAGTTCGATGCGCGTGAACGGTGCCGCGACCGCGCCAGATGTTCCATTCAGGCGTCCATTGCTCGCCTGTTCGTCGAGAAGTTATCGAAATTAACAACTTCAACTCGCGTGCGGGTTTTCATTCCTCTGGGAGTCCCGGAGTAGCCTTGTTCCGCTAGAAAACTACTTTGTACCCTTGTATACTTTTTCCTGTGGGAAGAAATCATTGGATCGATATGAATATTGACTCAAACTATAGGTATTTTAATATACCTGCATAGAAATTATGATTATACCAAACCTAGTTGCATGAAGCAATAGAAAATGGCACGGAAGTCGATTCCTCACGAAGGACCCAGTCCTCCGTCGTCTCGAATACCAATGACAGGATTCATTCTTTCGGAAGTTATCCCGCGATAAAGTTTCCCTGCTTAAAGTTGTGTTTCGCAACCCGACACGCGCGTACGCGAACTCTATCGGCGCTCACGACTTCTCCCGAGCAGAAGTGCGGGACTGCCAGCTCCTCCGCGCCAGATATTTACATAAAATATCAATGATAAAATCAACTCGCTCAAAGCGACGGATGCAAATACAGAAGAAGGCAATTTCGCGAGATAATCGCAACGGTTCCACCTTGCTTTCCAAGTTATTCGAGTTTAGAGATCCTCGACGTCGCGACGAATAAAAGTGTCGCTCGTCGGTTCGACGTGCAACCGTGCGAGGGTTGCAGGTAATCGTGCGCACGCTCGACGCGTTAATAAACGTCGGCGTTTCGCGTGCATGGGAACGCCAGGTGAAATTAAATGCGAAAGAATGCAATTTCGCGACGCGAAACGCAGCCCTGCGAGATGCTTCTTCATCAGGGGCTCCTCGTCGTTACGCGATATATTGGAGGGTTACCTCGACGACGTCAAAAAATTTGGAATTCTTTTCTCGTGGGGGGGTGGTTTGCATCTTCGCGGATGGGGTGAGTTATAACGAGATGGCATAAGAGTCACCAGTCATTGAGGTCTGAGATTTCCTAAGAAAGGACTACACTTTATACAGTGTCCAAAAAAGGGTATTTCCATTTTTATAAAATTTAGACAAATGTCTTCAATAAACATAAAAGATACGAATACTTATGGAACTGACTATATAGATGAACACGTCCTGATCACTAGGGAACGGAAAACTCACCCCACCATGTGGCTGAACTCATCTCCTGCATTTTTCAAGAATTTGATCGAAAGTATATACTTACAGGACATGTACCTTACGTGTATCTTACATGTATGGCGTAGTCAGAAAAAATTGGCGATGATCAGCGCTATCTGAGCCAAGAGGTACCCCTTTAAGCACAGTTGGTTATCGCGTAGGAAGCCAGGGAAGGACGGGGGAGGTCGCCCAAAGGGTCGAGAGGGCCGAGGAAATGGGACACCGGTGCGAAGGGTTGGAGACCGACTATGGATACGGCCTGCGGGACGTGGGAGGGGCGCAGGAGGGAAACCAGCCGGGTACCGGTGCGACAAACTTCGAACAAGTCGAGCAATCTGGAATCGAATGGAGTTTCGGGAGACTTAGCCGAGTGAAAAATTGCAGGAGCAACTTTCGCGATGCTCTCAGACCCATTAAGCGGCTCAACAAGTACGATTCCAGTAACCGTTTTGCCCGTGGACTTTGAATGGAACCAGGAAGCGTGAGAGCGAGGCTGCGCGTCGCTTAGAGAGGGATAGAGAGGCCTGGGGGACGGGGGTGACGCGCACAGGAGGGAAAATTGTTTGCTGGAATCGCGTAGCGGGACTCGCCGAGGAGAGGGAGAGGGCCCTGGCAGAAAACACGAACCAGGAAACACGCCGGTAAAGGAGCCAAATGCAACGACATCGTCCGTGCCTTTTAACTGGATCTCCGCTCGCTTCGAAACTCGTACTCGGTACTTCCTTTGAGGGGACTGGTTTAATGGAATGCGGACGGGGCGACCCCCTTTTCTGCTTAATCTGCGTATCGACGACCCCCGCCTCCGAACGACACCCGACGAGGGCTAATTACTTTTTTACGGTGATTCTCTTTCACTCCGTACGAGGAGTGCCTGTGAAGCATGTGGAACTCGTTTCTTTTGTGAGAATCGATTTGCATTTTGCTGCCGTATCGGGGATTCACAATCATCGCATAGTTGCAATTGTTGGGACACGGAAAAAGCTTGGTTGAAGGGAATCTCGATGTTATCGGGTCACAATTTTAAATACAGTCAGTTCAATAAATATTCGTACCGTTTATATCTGTTGAAGAAATTTGTCTAAATTAATTGACAGGTTTTACGTTCCCAAATAAACGTTTCGTTACAAGTATGTACACAAATAAAAGTGTACACGTATGTATATTACATAGAAATATTTATTTGAGAACAATAAATCTGTTATTTAATTTAGACAAATTTCTTTAATAGACATAGGGGGTGCGAATATTTCTGAGGCTGACTGTAGTTGCGCGCCCCATTGCTACAGTCATCCCGATACAGTTTTTCCCCTTCCGCGATGTCCCTCGTCAGTTTTCCGAGGCAATGTCACGGAAACCTTCGAGGCAGAAGAACGGATTTCTTTTCATCCGGCTGAGCTGCGGCAAAAACGAAATAAACCGTCCACTAATTTATAACTCGTCCGCGTTGGTCTTAGCGGTGCGCGCGGACGTAAATAGGATTTATTTAACCCCGCGATGTCGGTCTTCGCCGGAGAGCAGCGCAACGAAAGGGTGCTGCGGAATAAGCTTGAAAAGGGCGAAGGCAAGGATGCAGAAGGAAGACGACGGGGGCTCTGGAGAAAGAGCCGTCGTCTGAATGGATCAAAGAGTGAATGAAGACCCGGGGCAGAGGAAGCGACTCCCTATGAAGCGGAAACGTTCTAATTACAGGGATGCGCGGTCCGCGTTCCGCCGTTAAACATTTTTCCACGAGATTGTTCGACCCACGAGTCGAACGAGTCCAGCTAACGGGTGGCCAAGGTTTAAACGAGGCTAGACAGGAAAAGGGGGACAGACCAGGGAAGAAGGCCGCGAACAGTAGCCGACGGCTGGAGTTTTAATCAGAGAGCTATTTGAAAAGGATGACGAAGAACCTTTTGTGTCCGAGGAAGACGCTTATTCGTCAAACTCGGACGAAAGGAGCGTCGAGTCGTTTGTAATTTTTTTTTACGTTGACCTCGTCCGGTACGGCCCTAGTAGTCTAATTCGGTTTGACTCGCCCTTCGCCCGCGATGGACCGCCCTTTTTCCCTTGGCTTTCTTCGGGGAAAAACTTTCGAGAGGTCTACTTTGCGGGGACGTGCCAGAAAGCTCTCGCATTATTTCGTTTCTTGTGGAAGAAAGCCGAGCACTCGGGCCTCTTCGCTACTCCAACTTCAACCTCGTCGAGTTTCTCTACTTCGACGAGTGGCCCGTTTGCACCGGCGCCTTTCGTATACGCGGTCTTTACGATGTGTGTTTCGAATCAGTCTTCGGGAGCAGGGGCAAAATGGACTCGATTTAGTCTGCGAACCACGTGTACACGAGAATACACGTCGATAAGTCTACTGTCTAACTTCGTCTTCCGTCAGTTTTAAAGGTAAGGGAGGGCTACTACGCATTAAGATGCTGTCAGATTTATGAATCTACCAAAAAATATATTTTTACGCTAGTGTCGCGACCTGCATAATCTTCAGATCGGCCACAATATAATAAAAGTATTTCCCACCGTTCTTCGAGCCTTCCCATTTCTTCCAACGCTCTTGTCCCTCTTTGAAGGCCTCAATCGCGCGTCCTGGAGTACTTTCCCCAGTTTCATGCTCTAATTGGCTCGTTTCCGAATTCCCTTTTCCCCCCTTACCCTCTCGAGCGAGTATTACCGCGAAGCCGAGAAATTTCGTAATAAAAGCCAGCCTCGGGTAGAGGGCGTACAGTCCAAGGTGGCGTAAATTTTCGACAGCTTTAAAAAGGAAAATATGCGGGGGCTGGAAGCAGACCTAGCCAAGTAAGCACAAAGTGCGCGCCGCGCCGCGCTTTTCAGTCGTCAACACTTTCGTGTTTCGCCGCGGCGACGGCGGATCTGCGAAGGGTAGAGAAACAACGTGCTTTGACCGGTCGTGGTCCAAGTTCTCCTCGTAACAACGCCGTACAGGGCGTCCTCCGTTCCTGCTTTATGGAAAGAGTAGGAAAGACTTAGGCTAGCCGGAAACGCTCGCGACGAACGATATTCTCGTAGCTCGTAAAGTCTCGCGTATCTTGTTGGAGATGCCTCTGAATGGAGGTTGCATCGATTAAGCGTGGCTTAATGGCTCTTAAATCGCACTCGGGACTAAATTGTACTTCCGTTATACGTATGTGGCATTCAGCGGGAATTGCAACTCTGCTGACTCTCTTTCTTTGAAAATTTTTTTTGCGAGAAAAGTGTGAGCTTGAATCGTTTCAGATTTTAATGCAAAATAGCGTACCATCTTTCCTAAATTTTCATATTTTTTAATGTTGAACATATTATTTATAACCGACTTGTAAAATAAAAGACACGCACATTTTTCATCATACCTTCGTATTATTAATTGATTTGCAGGATTTTCTCGAGAAACCGGACTCACAATTTGATTTCTGTGTCGAGCCCTTCATATCCGAATCGTCCTGCGCTGTTTAATCCGCATTAAGAGGAATGTGGAGCACGTAAGTTCTCTACTTTGATCATTAAAGCGCTTTTAATTCGCCAGTATGCGGCCCAGCTACGTTTCGAATTTCATGCTCGCGTTTAATCGCGCTTCAACCCCCCTTTCTCCCCACACATTGATCGAACTAGCTTCATCGAATTTCTCCCTTTGCTTCGTAGGTCGCAACATTCGGCTCCGATTGTTCGATTACCTGTCTGCTTCGACCCTTTAATCGCTGTGCTGCGCTTACCTTGATGATTAACATTCATCAACATTTATCATTGATGATTCATTCTCCTTGGCACAGCGACGAGGAGATGAAGGTATACATATAAATGAATCAAAGCAATGATCGTTTCTGTTTTTATAATTTATTGAAGCATTAAGTACATAATGTAGTTCTACAACAATAATTCAAATCACAGTATATAAATCAGTATAAGTCACACAGATTTCACGGTGTCCTATCCTATATTTATTCTATTGTACATATCGCTCTATTCTACTAACATACAAATCTTTTTTTTCTAGATTGCAGTATTAACAACTCTTGGCGGGCCATTTACTGCCTTTGCACCGCAACGTATCCGCGCAGAAAGACGTCAAATGAGTGGATTAAAATAGAATAAAATAGACACGACGATAGGGTGTTCAGACACGCGAAACATTAGGGCTTGCACGTCGCAGAGTAAATATTGCTATTGGAAGCAGCGAACTGCGGGCTTACAGGCATACGGTGGATCCTCGAGCGCGGCATCGAAATCACTCGTGTAAGCCCGATAAGGACGACAAAGATAATATTTTCGCAGAACAAGTTTGCGCCTGGTTCTCGAATCGTGGACTTGGCTGCTACATATTTTTCGCCGTTTACCAGCGCAGTCATTCTAGGCTTAGTGTTGGAATTTATGTTGGGGATACGCGATCAGAAATCGTCCCCATCATTGGTTGTGTTTCTTCAGCGTGAGCCAACTCCAGCGATTGGCACCAGAGGGATTAACATAATCCCATAATCAGCGATTGGACGAAATCCTCAGTCTTATAAGTATAAATGTATTCATGATATACATACGTGTATGTTAATTATGTAGCAGTAAATAACGGATACAGTAGGTGTATTTAGTAAGACACAGTAAGTTTCTGGCATTAGTGACTTTCGGCACCGCTTTGAAGTGCACCGAGCCAAGTTCTTCAATAGGTTACTCAAATTAAAGATACGTATATACTGTTTAGGATGATTCTGGCTCATTTATTCCGGATTTTCGCGTTTAACCGAACATTCCCCTATCAAATTTTCGACCGAGCTTCGATTAAAAGTAACCGACGATGGTCCTTTTTCATGAAGCGTAATGTTCCACACAATTCGGTATATCTTAACCTAAAGTTCGCGTCAAAGTAGCGCAACAACGCCAGAAGTCGGACCCAAGTAATAATTGCACTAATTAAGCCGCTTTGTCCGCATCTGACGGCGACAAATGCACACCCTGAATAATTCAGTGTATTTCGAACGCCCGACACTTCGCGTGGGTGGTTACCACACCTACAACGTTTAATGAGTTTGTAATCCCTGACACAAGGAGCTCGCCGAGTGGCAAAAGCTTAAGTGTCATTGTCGTTGCTCGAACGCAATCCCTCGAAGAGATCGATACCATAGTTGGCGGCTCGACGACAATGCAATTAATTCAATCCATTCGATTTCAATACGTGTAAGAGGGCAGATAAGACAAGGTAAAGCGTTCAAGACAAATCAATCGCTCAACTTTTTTCTATAGGGAATATTATCTTGGGAAATTTTGAGGAATTAGTAGGCAAAGTATAGGGAATATCTTGGAAAATTATGAGAAGTTAGTATGGAAATTGTAGGAAATAAGTCGTTAAGAACATATTATGACAAAAATGTTTTATATACGATAGCTTCTGTTTATTCCAATTTCGTTCTGGATTGTGTGAGGAACATTACAGTAACCACGTTAGAATTCTTGAACTTTAGCACTGAAGGGCAATTAACCTATAATTCACGCAATGCGTCACGCACAGAGTATGCTGAATATTTCATGGCGGGTCAACCACCAAAATAATTCAAGCATCGCCGAGCTTCGGTATGTGTGCTCGCGCAGCGTGGCTGGAAGTGTTCACGCGAACGACTTGATGCCGTCAGCTCAGCCCCGCGGTATACAAGGAAGTACACTTAGAGCCGAAGACCAGGCTGAAGTATCGTACAAATCTTACCGCAGGGGTCGAGCTTCCGGTTCCGCGAGAACACATCCACCACAATGGCCGAACGATGTCGCTCGAGAGCTCTTCTACATCCCCTCGGGGTCCGTGGAATTATTGGATCGACACTCGTCCGCGAGTCTCTCGGTGTTTTCCTGATCGTCCTCGACCATTCTCGATTCTGCTGTCGTTGCCTTAGTTCTCCTATCGACCCTTCGATTCGCTAACTTTGCGATAATATTAGGCTGCGCAACTTCTATTAATCAGGAACCTCCTGTCAGAACTGCCACCTTTAGGCAAAGAAGAATAATATAGATGTAATGCGTGGATGTGTGATTTTCTTTAGCGAGTCAATTTGCAACAAACGAAAAATAATATTTTCAAGTCAGAATGGAAATAAAATTCATCCGAACGCCTTATATTGATTTTCCGAGATTTAATGTATGACTCGAATGGACCACGGAACATTGCGTAACATTATCGAGGTTTTTATATTTCAACCGTTTCCCGGTTCTCCTTTTATTTCTATTCATAACTAATAAACTTTCACAAATATAAATGAAAGCAAATGCGTTTATGAATAAATATACATTATCCGAAATTCATGGTTCTTTCATTCATTCTTTCTCATCTACCTTATACTTTATCTCCCTGGCTTATGGCTAACCTAGTATTCGATGTTCAATCTACGATATACCATATACATTATTCGCACTGACATACCTATGCACGAATGGAGTTCCTGGCACAAGGAAGAAAAGGCACTCCACAGTTGAATCCTCTTCTCACAAATGCAAGCACCATTTCTCGCCGTTGTTGCTTTATACATCTCAAGGATTCGACGGCCAGGACTTACGCGGCATAATAATTTCTTCCGTCGGTGGGTTTGCAGGTTCCCCCGAATTCCTCCGCGTTGATTTATTTTAGCCGACGACGTTGACGTTTCTCGAACTCGTCGAGAACGCGAGACGTCTGAAACTTCCGTCCCAGGTAATTATTAGATATTTACAGTAGATGAAGATACGCGTAGACGGGGGCGGATGATATTCCAGGGGATCGTCGAGTCCTCGAGCCGCAAGATTAACAGAACCGGCAAAGTAACTTGCCCGTCGCTTTATTTTTCCGCGGAAATAAGTGGGACGTTTTCCAGGCTGCGCTAGAAGCGGGGTATCGGTAGGTTCCTCGGTATTCCGGAGGAAGGGCTCCCGTCGCGTCGGCTGATGGAGAATTCCGCTGGTAAAAAGTTCCGTCGACGCAGACTGGGAGTCGGCTACGACGGATTCGCAGGCAGAGGAACGCCGCTCGAAGCCTATAGCCGCGCGACAGTTTGCTTATTTAAGCTCGGCTTAAGCAAAGCTCTCGAACTCGCCCGAATGAGTAAAGGAGGGCGGAAACGGCAGCCACGACGAGCATTGCAGTTTGCCAATCCTAAGATCGAACTTTCCAACTTGGCTGCGAGGGGGGCATCCTGTAACCACACCAGTCTTCGGCCCCGTGTTACGCGCCTGGCTGTGTATCCGCCGTGTAAACTGACCCTTCTCCGAGTCACGGATACAGCCACGCTACTTCGCACATTGCATCGCCATCCCCTAGCGATTCGAGCGACGATGGCTGGAGATGGACCGAAGCATCGCCTGGACGACCATTTTTACAGGTAACGAATCAACGAGACAAATCATTTTTTAATTTTATTTGTTTCGACTTTCGAAGCTTGATATACATTAAAAAAGACTTACTACAGGGTTAAAATACCCTATGACTTGTCCAGGCGAGAGTAACTCCTCGCCAAGACCCCATTGTCCCTACCGGAAACCACACGCTTTATTCGACTTTCCTTTGAACTTTTTAATTATTTCCCCCAGCTTAAAAGGTGGATTAGAAGTCACGGAAGTTCCTTGGGAATCTCTTTCGGGAGGATTCGGAGCATTTCACCCGCGATGAGGACGTTGATCGTGCACGAGGATCGAAAGAGGAAAGCAGGGCGACACCGAGGACGTTTATCTTTGGCAACGATTTCACGGATCTTTTTAAAAAGCGGGGATGGATTTCCGTAATTCTGTCGAGCTTCTTTCCCCATCCATTATCGCGAGCCGGCGAACCCGACGGAAAGATAAACGAAGCACGGCTAATATATCCGGGGAACACGAAAATTACAGTCCCTTAGTTCGCTCGACCGCGAACGAGAGAAAAGTGTATTGTCTTTGCTTAACGACGGTGTATTCTTTTTACGCCAACGTACCGATCGTTAGGAGATTCTCTGGTATCGCGTGGGGTCCCTCGGGCTTTTTGATGCGTTAGTAATACTATACCGTTGCTTAGCGTGCGTTTAAACGGTTACGATTTGAACCATAATTTCGACTATTTATTTCACATCCCTCCCGCAGCGTGGAAAAATAGAGCACTAAAATGAAGAGAAAAGAACGCGAAGAAATCTTTGGATATCACGGACTTATGATGTATGCTAATGTGAAACACTCATACAAAACAAAAGCAGATTGTGTTTCAAGAAAGAATAAATTTTCGTTATACACAATTTGTCTACGTTCGAGATACGTTTGTCATGCTTGCGCACGTCATAAACTAATCTATCTGGATCTGCTACATCTACAATGAAGCCTATTTCGAGTTTACTTTAGGATCCAAGATTTTTTGGGAGCCATTTGGAATTCACACGTGGTTTGTTTTTAGATAGCAGCAAAAGTCTATGCTTACATAACAAACGGAAAGTCGATGTTGCAAGTACAGATATCAACTTATCTGTCTATGAACACCATTCATCATAAATTACGATATTACTAGTGCCGTAGAGTACAATAATACAAGGAAAAATATTGTCGATTGGTATAAATTGTAGCTATAAATACATGTAACAAACAACGACAGAGTCGAAGGTCTCTGCAGATACCGTAAAGTGTTACGTTGCTCGTAAATAAATGTTATTTAAAAATATGCACACCCTCTGAAAATGTAATTTATTGTTGAATGAAATTTTCGCACAACTCCGTAAGAATTACTTCGAACTGCCCAAAGGGCTGTTGGCAATTTTTATCCCGGCCTTTGACGGCCAATTTCCTGACTCGCGGTTCGCGGAACTTCAATCGGGTATTTGTAGATAATTATTCAATCGATAAGTTCGTTTCGCGTATATCGGGCCTGGGAATATTTTCAATTCGCTGCAGAGGCTTCGATAGTGCCTGGCAATTCCGCTTACGACTCGATGGGAGACGATGATCAACGTTCCGTTGGATAACGAAATGGTATTAGTGGGTGTTCGAGCCACCTTACGTAATACTGTGCGAAAAAGATTATGCACGAGTGAATCACCGGAGATGCAGCCTCACGTTTCTGGGACCAAATTCTTATTTTTCTGGAATTGCTTTTGTCTGAGAGAACAGAATAAGTAGGTGGTCCAAAGTAGTCAAATCAGTATTAAACATGCCATTAAACAAACTCCAGAAGTACTGCCCTGCGAGATTCATAGCGATTCGTCTAGCATGGCATCGTTTGTCACGCGTATGACGGATTATCCGCGAAAGGAGACGCGGTATCGAGCTCCTGGGTTGGCTGCCGCGAGTTTTTACATGATGTCATCGCCATTTACCGCGATGGGGTCGAGCACTAAAACCAAGTGCGCGTATAAAGACGATGAGCGTTACCGGTGCATCGCACGCGCGACGATATTCGGGCTATTTGTAGTGGTCGCGGTGCGACAACCGAGTCGCCTTAATGCTCGTAACGTGCTCCAATAAAGCAAGCAACGCGTAAAATACAAACAAGCGTGCACATCCCCCTCCCGGCAACCTGTGATGGCTGCCAGGCAGAGTGGTCGTTACCTTTTGATGCTGGAGATGCTTTCTGCGAATTTTTCCAGGCTTCGGAATGGCTCTTGAATGAGTGGAGCAATGTCCAAATAAATACCTCAATTTATATTTAATTTTCTAAGGGGTAATTTAATGTTGACTACTATCAGAGGAGGCTCGATCCGATGAATTTATTTTGTGAAATATTCCTGCACTATTATAAATTACGATTCATAAATATATCGAGAAGAAGGAATTGTCGAAGAATACTACAAGATAATGAAGGAATTACTCCCCTAGTCGTTGCTTTGAATTTATTTCTGCGAACCACTGTTCTCCCTCATTACAAATTCAGCATTTTCCAAGGTATCTTTTACTTCCCGTGAATGCAATGCGAAAGATCGAGGTTCAAATGTTCCCAACTATTAACGCGTCCGTTGATTAAACATTAATTATTTCGATGTTCCATCGTAACGTCAGCTCGACGGAATCCCGACTTCCAAGGAGCATTAAAAGTTACGCGCGTTTAATTAAATAACAGTCGACCGTTGCATGCTCGATGATTAGGCTTAATATTGTGCCCGCGGGGCGTTTATCGCCTCGGAATTCAAGCTAGGCACACGCACGGTACCGTCAAGTGTCGTTGTTTAACAACGCCAACCGATTAACGCGTCACGAATGCATTATCCGCGAATGCAAATACTATCGTCAGATCGTGCGATACCACGCGTATGCCTTATCTCGGGACACTTTTCGCTTTAATCTGCAAACAGCCGACGTTCTAGTGTCTTCTTTGCGCGTCACGTGTCGCGGTCTCACGCAAACAATGGCTACACTGCTTCGCGAAACAGCGCGTGACACTTCAAAGGACCACTGTCATGATTTTAACGCCTGGTAAAATTCCACGGCACGAATTTATATTATATAATAACATGTCGTTTTCGTGATTGTTACGCGTTTCGCGATTCCAAATTTTAGGTAACACGAGTTTCTTACTTTTAAAGATAGGAAAGAGCGTTTGAGCGTGAGTCATTTTGGTTTTTCAACTCGCCTACAATTATAATTGAGTCTCATTACTAAGATTCCGCGCTTCGCAGGCGACAGTTATTACCACTATCGATTGTTTTCCCATTAGATCGGAACCACCGTCATCGATGCGTCATCGAGCAGGTTCAGCGGAGTCGACGACGGTTATCGTTCGACAGTAAACAGCGAAACCGTGCGACGGGTATCGATTCCCGCGAAGGTAGCCCCCTGATTTGTCGAATACACAATCCGCGGAAGAAAAACAATGGGGGAGCGTGCGCCCGCCGACGGAGCTGGAAATACCTTGTGTAAACGATGTTCGTCATCGAACCCGCGAGTCATCGAATGTTCTCGTCGCATCACCGTCGAGGAACAACGCCCACTCGTAAGGATCCGCGTGTACGGCAAAATTGAAAGAGAACTTGGCTGCCAGGAAACCGCCACGTTTATTGCATCCAACCCTTCAACCCCCTCGCGGAAGCAAGATTAATGAACGTATTAATGGACGGTTGGTTGCGCGGAATTCTTTTGCTGGAAGCAAAAATAGGGGAGTATTCTTGACGCTGCGGAAGGACTAACCCGTTTAGGTTCGTCGCAAGGGGCAAGAAAACTTGTCCACTTAGAAGATGGCGATGAGATGAACCGCCTATCCTCGCAGGATGAAAGAGCGCTAATTGATCAGGTGGTTGAGGGGACAAATATTCTTCTTGCCTTGGATCTTCCATGGTTTCGAAGGTATTCCACGGTCGCGCGACCATTTCACAAGAGATCAAAGATTTATTATAAATAAATTCTAAAATAACCCTACCGAATTTGAGGAATGAAATAGCATTTAAAACTCATCTATCGAATTCGAAATTCGCTCCATAAAATTTACCCGAATTACCAGAGGTTGCACAAGTGAAATCGACCAACCCCTTCAATTTTATTCGCTAAAAAAAAAAAAAATATTAAAAAACGAGAAGAAAACGATCCCTTTAATAGACGTTACGTTGAACCCAGGGATTCGAATCGGAGCGATTCGGGGGGTGAGAGGTCAACAATTTCCTGACTGGTCGAAAAATTACCGAGATTGTCGGAATCACGTTCATAGAATGAACCGTAACGTCGAAACGCGGGCTCGCCTTGGCGAAATTTCCCAGCGAACTTGCAGCCTGCATTCAATACGCGAAAAACGCTTATTTTTCGAGGGCTCTCGTCGCTGATTCTCGATATTGATTCCAATAGTTTAATCGGACTGGGTATTGATATCGTGTATTGGTGCTCGGGGTCTATTCGTCGGATCGTCTAAAAAACTTCAGCGGGCGCCGCGTCTAGAATATCCTGCGGCTTATAAGGGCAGCCGTGGGCTTTGATCTCGCGAATCCATGGAAACCCATGGATCAACACCATTCACCGTGGTGTGTTTGGATCGAAATGTTGGCCGAAATCGCTTTACCACTTCAATCACATTTAAATTATGAAAGGTAAAAAAATCTGCGTTCATCAGAGCCTTCTATCCTCTTTATCGAAAGTAGAATTGAGTTATTTTCCTATGAGATCTACGCAAGGACCAATTACTTTTCTTCCACTCCTTAAAAATACGTACACCTTTGGTTATTTCGCTGTGGACCCGCGGGGAAGCGATGGTAATCGGTTGGAACCGACTATCCGCGAGTAATTTGGGTAATGGCTGATATCCGACTGTGCTGGGCTAAATGGAATGCTACTACAGTATAGAACAAAAATGATAGCCCCACTGTTATTTCTGCACATACAACAAAGTACAACGCATTTAGAGTGTCCTACATACTGTCCATCTCATTGTACGTAACCCTCGTCAATTCAGCGATTTCTCTTGCTCTTCCTTTGGAATTGTACCCTACCGTATAAGGGTTGTTTCTGAGGTGATTCTTTCTTTTTATAATTTGTGGGTTTCTTTACCTTCTTCTTCTGATTCCCCTCGACCTGTTATCTTAATACAGTTGAAAATAATATTTTTCCTCTCAGATACCAATGACAACTATTCACGTATTTAAGGAGCATCTACAACTCCACCTTCCAGGTATTACAAAGGGACGTAAAGTGACACAAAGGGATCATTTCAGAAATAAACAAACAGGTCGTGCGCATCATCGTTTTGGCCTGGACTGTATCAACCAAAGCTCGCGCGCTTCCGTTGTCACATTACTATATTCCGGCCGAAATAACCAGCGATTCACGGTTTATTAACGGGGAGAACGCACGAACATTGTACTCCACCCGTTAAAATTTCATCGTCAAGACCGAATCGTTTCACCTAGGAACGCTTCGAAACCGTTCTTGCGTCGCAACGACGGAGAGGGACCGACGATTGTCGCTTTGTACCGATACTCTACACGGAAATAAGAGACAGAAACGAACGCCGTTTATAATCGAGTTTCCAACAGACCCGCCGTGCTTCGCGGCCGAGTTTACCGCGAGTCCACCTGCGTCCAATTAGTCTCGATAAATATTTTCTAAGGGATTACATATCTATTTCAGAAAGAAAGAAATTGGCATTGTATTGGTGGACCAATACCCCTTTGGCACTCAGAGGGTTAATCTCTAACTCGTGTCTCCATCAAATTAAATACTTCGGATCAGTGGCGTCACCCTCAACCTTTTTAATTCGATCTAAAAAAAATCCCATAATCTACATAATCTTCCTTAGGTCCCTAAGCTACTGCTTTCTCGTGAAATAACGCACAACAATTACTGAAACACTGGTAAACACATGTCTGATTGTTCTAGCGGGATAAAATAGTGAAAAAGATAAAGAGACGCGATAATGATCCGCGATTAGGTTTGCTCAGACGTCCAAGGAGAATGACAATGCCGGTCCCTTGGAAAATCCGCGACACGAGGATGATCTCGGCCTTGACTCGAAGCATCGAATCGGAGGATTCGCGAACGAAAATTCCCGGAGATCCTCCCGCGTGGGTGTCTCGAGGAGACAAAGACAACAACGGGGTAAAGGACAACAACGGGGTGGGAGATGAATTATAAAGAGACGTTCGACGGTGAGAGGTTTTACAGTTGCGCCTTGCTCGCTTGTGGCAGCGAGTTTGTGCCTCTCGTGCGATCTCTCGTCTTATCACGCGTTCGTCGTTTGCTATCTGTGGTGGAACCTCCTCTCGGAGTCTGTGATCGTCGTGTTTGATTGATCGATACCCGCTCTGCTCCGCTCCTTGATTGCACGGAAACGTTTTAAGGTAAGGTGAACGACCCATTGCAGGCGAACACGTTTACAGTAATGGGAAAGGTGCTACGAAAATCGGCGGACTATTACTCGATACCTACAAAGTCATCCATTTGATTAGAAAGGAGTTTAACTTTCCTGAAGATTGAAGTGTTGCGTCAAAATAGCTTCTAGCCAGTTCAATCCTATTACGAATACACCTGTACCGAACGATTTTCAATAAAGTACTTTTCACGCTATGATTTTCGTTTGTTTCGTGAATAAAAAATGTATAAGAACAGTTCAACTATTTTTATCGTTATCGATAATTACTCATTTCGGTGATCGAAGGAATTTTCATTTTATATATTTAGATACATCTCTATTTATGATTTGCAAAACTGAATCACCTTTGGTAATAATTATCTCCTCACAACGTCAATTGACCTGAATGATTTTAATAGGAACAAAATATGACTTTACATACGAAAGAAAGCATTCGACGAGAGAAATTTTCTTTTGTATGTAAAGCTACATCCCGTTCCCTGTAAAATTAATCGGCTCAGGTTCGAACGGTCTTCGTTCATTCATAGAAAGACAAAATAACTGGCAACACAAAAATGAGAAGCCACTTCACTTGTTATCATCCTGAATTTTAAAATATTTCTCACGCTACCAAAATTTGTCCTCAAATGCTGAATCCATTCTAAAGCTATTCGAGTAGCGCATACATATATTATTAAACGAGAAATATTAAGCAACAACCGCGACTTCTTCCCGGAAGTTAAGCCACGCGCGACGTTAGAAACTTTTTCCTCTCGAACACCGCTGCGTAATAATTGATAATCAAACAATCGCTCGCCTCTGCCATCGCAAAATTGAAACTTTAAGCAAAACGACACGTCGCACGTGCTCTCCACGCGTTAACTCGAGTACATCGTAACATACGCACGTTTCCACGTATTCCACTAATTCTAGTTAAACTGGACATTCGAAAGTAGAACCGACAAAAAGGCTGCCTAGACGGAAATACCGTCTGAAAAAATCTGCAACCTAACCATGCTATATTCTTAATTTATTTTCCAGCGTCAACCGCGAACGAGTGAAGGTAAAATAAGCTCGTTCGACGATTAACAGCGTTTTTGATCGTTTGCGACGTAGATCGCTGGTTCCCGCGCCGGCGCGCATTTAAGAATCCCAAACAATGAAATATTACTAAATCGTGATTACCGTCGCACGCTGCTTTTCACGGAGCAGCTGGATGATAAAGCAATCGTTGCACTTTATGGACGTGCGTGTTAATAACCGCTCGTTTTTCTTGCCTTGGATAAAAATATGCACGAGTACTTTTCTGTTTTACTCTAGTCCTTTGTCGTTTAAATGTAGCGCATAAATATATGGGGTATTAGACGGGCATTTCTTGAGGTTATTATAGTATAGTATAGTATAGTATAGTATAGTATAGTATAGTATAGTATTCGTATTAAATTTTATTTATATTAAATTTATATTAAATTAGTATTAAATTTATATTCGTGTTGTTTTTCGAGATACTGCCTCTATGCCATTATGGTTTTAATGGAATAGTTGCAAAAGTGCAAGATAATTATCCTTCGCGGCTTCGTAACCAGTCAAATGTTGAAATAGATAACAGATCTGTTCTTTCCACGCGCACTACAAATTCCGAGTATGATACATCGAGGATATAATTTAGCCGTACAGACGTACATACGTATCCAATAAAATTCTAATATAGGGAAATTGCGTGTCCCTCTTGCGTATCATTGGAGGTGTACACGATTATTTATATCGATACAAATAAACTAGTACCTCACGAAGGGTAATAAAGGGTAATAAAAGGTAGAACAACGGAAAGTTGAAGCCTACGATGACATAGGTTGATGAATTGCTTATGATTTTCCTGCGTACATATTTAAACAATTTTAACATTATCTCGTTCTTTTATCTTTTCTTCCGGCGAATTTAATCGAATGCTAACCTCCCTTGACGTGTGCTATCCAGCCTGAACGTGCTCGTGGAAACGTGGTCACAATAATTAGAGGGAAATTAATTAACACGGCCGGTTAGTTAGGCGCGCATTAATTCCCTCGTTTCGCTAATTAATGTGAATATTTATTTCGGGGTGATTTCAATTTACCTCGGGTTTACGTAAACGGCATCGGAAGCGTAGGCTCTCGTTCCTTTCCAGGCGAAACAAGCCAAACGAGAATTACAATCGTCGGACACGTACGGACAAGGGTCGCGTCGAGGCTCGCTGGTTTTTTTTTATTTTGTCTTCCTGCGAGAAAGTTGGTGTGAATTCACGCCATTTAGCTGGATTTCAATGCGTCCCTGGCTTCGATTGGCGAGCACCGGATATGGACGTTAGCCGGTGGGCAAAAAAAAAACAACTCGTGCCAGAAGCGAAACACGAATACCTGAGCGCACGCGACTAAACCGAAGCTACTGACCAGCGAACGGACCTTGCGAACGTGTGCTTTTGCCAGTCGTTAACTCGTTTCGCCACAAGAAAGCACTTTTTAGAGACCTTTCGTGCACGGAAAGGGTGGACAAAGATGATAGTTACGAAACGCGATTTATTTATGCATACGCGCTCCGCGTAAAAGAGAAAACTTCCTAGTTCTGTAATTTTGCGAAAAATAAGTCTACTATGATGCAAGGGAAAGCGTTTTGTAAGGTGGAAGTAACAATTTTTTAATCGAAGTAGACGATTTTCAAAGAGGTTTAACCCAAACCTAAACATGCAACTGATCGTGTCGAATGGATTAAAGTTCCTCGACTTTGAAGTCATGCACGGGGGTGTAAACAATTTTCTTGGTGACTTTCATGAATGAGAAGTTGAAGATTGAAGCGTGTACTTCGTTTCTGTTGTTAGTTGATGGACCTACGATTTTCTTTAGTCAAGGTATCGCGACTTAAAGGGAACGCTGCATTTTTAAGCAAAGTGTAAAGTTTGGAAAATAATTGTGGAATGTGGAAGAAGTGGAAAAAGTATGAAATAAGGGTGGAATCCTTTATCAAATTTTAAACATACTCACACTTGCTTGTTCTACACATCCCACACTTGTTTCACACTTGATGCATGGATTCTACATATGCTTTATGCTTGATCTACTCTTCCCATGGTTTCTGCACTCACAGCATGTGAAATAAGCATGCATGCGAATAAAACAAGCAGAGCCTATCGGAAATGTGTTAATACCATTCGTGACATGATGAAATATGAGTGTCACCCATCCTCGACTTCATGTGTATTCTACGTGTCGACCATATCTGGGTGCCAGTCAACGCGTTAAGAAGGGTTTCGCGTCATACGCTGCAAGAAATATCAATCTTCGCTATCTTGGCACAATGTTAGACAAAAATTTGAAAACTGAATCCATTTGCATAGTTAATCAATGCACGTGCACGGACATGCATTGTTTATGGATTCAAGAAAGCTCCAAGTATGATTTATTACAGTTGTTAGTTAAAAAATTACGAGTTTTAGGTGCGCGATATATTTTATAATTATTAACCGAAGTATACAAAAAAGAATGCATTATGCGAACCATGCAAATTTTAACATTATACATATCTAAGTAATACGTACATTTTACTCAACACACACGCAGCCTGTTCGTTTAAAAACGAGCACTGGGAATGGACATTCGTAGTTGTGTCAAAGCCGAAGTGGATTGGCTTTCTTGAATCCACATTTTGAATATCACTTTCTTTAAAGAAGCGACATCGCGAAAGGTAACGAAGTTTGTGAACTCAAATTTTAATACCTGGCAGAGAACGTATTGGAAATATATTTTCGATATGAATAAGGAATGAAATTATGTTGTACTTTTCAATTTTAAGTAATGCTATTTAATATGTTATGGTGGATTACTGTTTTGAAGCAAACTGTAATCCATCTTTTAAATTTGAGTTAGCAGTTTTATCTTTTAAGTTCTTTAAAATATTCATTTTGGACGTTTTCGTATTGTTCCCAGAATGTCGTACAACATAACCGCAATGCCCGCGTGCCCGGAGCCGTTCTTAGGACCGAGCCTCGGTGCCAACTGTCCAGGCCCACAATTTTTGACTTTCATGACGCTTTTGGATACTTTCGTTCGCACGCAAGCTGACATTTCTCAGCTCTGCGAGCGAGTGAGACCGGTCAAGATGCCTGAACAGAACTATGACTTCATCGTCGTCGGTGGTGAGTACTCTACGCTAAATCTGCGCTAATCTACGCTAAATTCTAATCTCTGAAGAAGAGATGAGGAAATACTCTATCAGAGAAGAAGAGTTTTTCATGTAGCTAACAGTCTAAAAGTCCTTGCAACGATTAATCTAAAGTGATTGGATCTATCTGGTCTACCAAAAATAAAACCTAGAGCCATATACAGAAATTCTGCCATCGAGCAAATAAAAGCGCGTACTAATAATTGTTCGACCGAATGAAACGCTGCGGGAATAAACTATACCGTTTTAATAAAATATTTGATACCGTCGCTGAGGGGTTTCCGGTCCACCGATATTTTTCAAACAGAAAACGAAGAGCCATATCGTAATTTTACTTGTAGAACATACCAGTCACATTTGATTTGCATAACCTTCCCGCGCCCTCGATAGTTTGAATATATAATAGCACTGTCCGCGTTGAACAGCGATGCGTTCGTGGGTGTGTATTCGATAATTCCAATCGAAACATGGTTGAAATTTTCATACACCTCGCTCGAAATACCGCAACGAAAGCAAATGGCTCTCGCTGAATGATTTACGAGTGACGGTATCGAAACTCTGCAAAGCTAAATTATTAACGACACTTCCTCGACGGTCCGATGCAAACGAGCTAATATAATAATAGACTTTAATGGGAGAAGAACTCCCATTATTGGGGTGGGAGGGAGGTGGCGGAGGGACAATTATTCAACGATATCTGCAAACATTAATTTAACGTGCTCGTTAAAAGTACATCGCGATCGTTCACATTCGGGGAAGAACCGATGTTTGCCAAATGTCGGTTGTTCTACGATCCAGGGCTTAGGGAGTTTCACCCCGTTATAGGGACCATTGGACTGGAAACCTGGGCGTTTAATACTAATTTATAATAGTAATAATTACAGGTGGTATATCAGAAATGTGAGTAGACTGAAATAAGTGTCTTCCGACTTAGAGAAAAATTGTGATGGTTACAGAAAAGTCCTAGACAAATGTTGAATATCAACTAAGATCTGAAAACGAATTTACTGTTAATTTACTAATAAATATTATGCTCCGCTTTCTTTTTTCCCACAGAAAATGGACACAGAATTCATTGTTTAACACAGAACACAGAATTCGTTGTTTAAAATATTTTGTCCTGAAATTGTGCCACAGCTTCGTTCGACCAATCCGCGGCGGAGGAGACGATTTTCCAGTCATAATGTCAGCCACGGTTAAATGCAAATATTGCGAGCGAAACGCGGAGCGAGCCTGTTAGCCAAGTTCTCGCGCGATCCGTAAACTAAATAATCAATCGCGCGGACACGAAACGCTCGAGCGAGTAACGCGTTTAAAATGTCGCGAAACGTTCCCTCGTGTTTTCTCCGGCCGACAGATTGTCGCGGGATGACAAACACCGTCGCTGTGGACGGCAGAAATGGAAAGCATTTATTTTTTTAATCGGAAAAATCATCGGGAACCTTCGAAAGCGCAGTGTCGCTTCGAATTCGATGGAACGGACACCCTTGACTATTTTCTGATGTTACATCGATGTGAAATTCTTTCTATCGAGGGTAACAATTGATTATTACTTGTACAATACGTGCTACGAAAAAGTATCACATATACAGCGAAAATAAAATATAAAAAAACGCGGGGGAAGCAATTGCATAAAGGGTAAAACAATACCTATGACTCTATTAGTTGCTTGGCTTACCAAATTGCTTTTTAAATAACTAAAACATTGCAAAATGAAATCCAACTGGTTTCCAGTATCCCTCGAATAAAATACCGCGTCGTGTACACTATTTCATTTTCGCAGTAATTACTGTGGAGTGTTTAACATTTACTATCTCGAATGATATTTCGACGGGGTTATTGGAAACGAAGCTTTTTCATCGAGCACAAATATAGCTGAATAATATTATGTCGGTAGAATAACGTTAGCCTGGGTAACTTTCCAATCGAAAACGCACCTCGTCTATTGATTAATCAATTGAAATTGGGGCATCCACCCGTATTAATTGTAATATACAGATACAATATGTATGCTGAATTGTAATTACGGAGAGATAAATTCGCAAGTAATTGCGATGCGATTTGATACCACAGCCTCGACATCGAAGTCCTTACTTCTTGAGAAACACAGAGGCTCTGAACTAATCGATAAACGTTCTGAGAAATTTGGAAATGAAAGCAAACAAACGTAACGACGTATAATGAACACCCGCGATGGCAAAAGGTGTTGGAAGGGCAAGAAACGAACGGTAGGAGCCTTAGCATTTTCTGAACGGGTGTAATTAGTAAACTTTGGACGACAAGTTAACTCGTTACAAGTGAAACAAACGACGACGTAACTTGTCCTGGCCGTTTAACAGGTTAAAAAGGACTGAAGCCAAGCTTCGCCCCGCGCTGGATAAAAAAAAAAAGACGCTTGTAATTGGATATTTTACGAGGCGAAACCCACCGCAAGTTCGCGACTTCAACTGGACCGTTTCGTCGGTTCGACCATTGAAATTAAAGCCGATTATTGAAGGACGATTCACGAGACACGTACTTTGCTTATCAAGACAAACAGATGGTACTTTGAAATGAATTTTATCGTATCGATTTATTCGAATAAATTGCAGAGGTTTCGTACGGATCTAATAGCAGACTAAAACAGTCTTGCGAAACAAATGACAAGATACGTCATCTTCTTGCAGAAGACGGTCCGTCGCGACACGCGACGAGAAGCCAGAGCTGTTTTAGTCACGCGTGGTTCGAATCGGTTCGATGACTGGTTAAATTATGCAAACAATTTAACTTTAATATCCAGCCGGCACAAACTTTCTATCTTATTTGCTCGAGTGCCGTGAATCGTAGAGTTCATAGCACACGCGTCGGTTTGCTCGCGGACACGTGCGCAAACATCTCCGTTCAACGTCGAAGCCGAGGCATTGCATTGCGAATTGGAGGGTAAATAACGATATCGGAAAGTAAACTCCATAAATCCAGGATTTAATATCGCCGCTGATTACTGGCCGGCTACTTTTTCCCCGTAACGATACGTACACTTTTTCGCCAAGGATAACTTCTGGAAATGAAAAACCGACGCTAGACACACGCCGGGGTGACGCAACAGCGAAATGACATTGCTGAAAGTTCTTTGGCAAGCGATACGCCGTCCGAAAGGGACCGAGAGCGTGGAAAACGGTCACGTTCACCGTATTCGAGGCTGATGCAAACTCTAGCTGACCTCATGCTCGTATTTAAAATTATTAACCGAATATTCGTTGTTGATCCTGGCTCTTATTTTTTTACTTTCGGATGTCGCAATTATTTAAGAAAAATGAACTGATACGAATTACACTGAACAAACCTACTGTTGGGAATTCAGCGGTGTGGTTTTGTGACTTTACAAGCTCTCAGCCTTCCTTTTCCCTTTGCACATGTTTCTGGACGAGTGGAAGCCACGATAGCAATGGTATCTCGTCGAATGGAACGAGAGGCATTTTCAGGGCCGTAAACGGCGTTTACGCGCACGCGGAGGTCAAACAGAATTATCGCGAATCGAAGCGCGCCACTAGTGCCAGTTCGATCGTAATTCGTCGATTATCGAGGGCCGAGGCAGCAGACGAAAACGCGATTCGATGGGCCGCGAATCGTTCGGCGTTTAGATCTGATATTAATACGAACTGTTATTCATTCGGGGAGTAAGCGAGATTATTGCGTCATTAATTTAATTAATTTTCAGCTCGCGCTTCATCGTTGTCCACCCCCTCAACCCTCGTACGCTCGGCAGTCCCTTCCGGCGTTGCCTCGTCTCGCCTGGTTGCATTATTACTCGTGTCGGGGCGCCTAGAGATAAATTTTCCAAGGCGATAAAAAGCGTCGAGCACGAGGTGGCGTCGCAGCGCTGGCCCCGCGACGGGGACGATCGTAACGCGCCAACGACATCGATTCGACCAGCGTGATTGAATCGTGTAAACCCGTAGCGGTAAAAATGACGTTGTCGTGAAACCTGGAGGCTGGAAAATCGACCGGCTTTACGTTTAGGAAACATCCAACTATTTCTCTACTATAATTCTCACCCCCTCGCACGCTGGGAATATTTAATGACCTGCATAATAGATCCTGATAGGGAGATATTCTACGCTCCATTTGAACCAAATTTTGCGAAAACTGTGGAGAAGTTTCTCGTCAACGGAAATTACTCGACACTGGTTGCACCCCGATTGTATTTATCGACGGTGCTATTCTCAAGCTTTTTATCTACTTGTCAGCAACGTATCTAAATAAAATACAATCTAAACACAATTGCAATTGTCGAGTAACTTGATCGTTTGAATAATGGAACAAACGTGGCGAATAATTCGCTATAGAGAGACTCTGTTCGTCACCTGTCGTTCGCATAAAATTCTACTCAGCTCTAGTATTCGTGCAATTCCTCTCACGCGGAAAGCTTCGGAATGAATTAACTACGTAAGGCGAGGACTCACCACTCTAAATGACGTTCCATTGTCAACGGTTGACAGTGCTCGAGACCTGGGTGTCTAACTCTCGGCTAATTATAGCGAAATTGCGAACCAAGGTTTCGAAGCCCGTGGCCTCGTTAATTCAGCAACGCAATATTTTAATGACGCAAACGCATCAAGGATGCTCCGTTTCTCTCCGACGCGTCCTCGTACGTCAGTCCGATCCGCTTGTGTCAATAATCATAGTTCCCCTCCTAGAGAAAGTGCAACAGAAACTCCCGCGTCTCATTGCTTTTTCGTATGAACCGTGTCCTATTCCAACATGTTATAATTACGAATCCATGCTCTCTTGTTAGGATATAATGACTTTGGAGAAACGGTGATGGTCGATATCTCGTTTGCACGCGAGGCGCTGCTCGGTTGCGTTACGAGATTTAAAAGTTCAGATAATCGCAAACTATTTACCATCCACCTCTTTCAGATATCTTACCGTTCTTGGATTTTTTAGCTTACTAATGGCAGGTGTAGACATTAACGCGTGATATAGAATTATGGGTTCCGTTTACTTTCCTCTTTTATGATCGACATAGGAATTTTATTAACTGGACAAATTCCTTTCGGGCCTCCGAGTTACGCGAGTTCTATTTTAATATTCTAAGGCTAGAAGCCGCGGAAAGATTTTAGACATTGCATTGGTTATCGAAGCGCCACTTTTCTTAATCGATCGAGACGATGGTAGCTATGGTCTAGGCCTGCTTTTAACAATCGACTATCGAGATATCCATCGGAAACGGTTAAATCAAGAACACTGCACGGGAACGTGAACTTTCATCGGTGGCCGATTCGCTTCGGAATATTTAGGTTTTATAAACCGCAGGTGGTGAAAAAGTTTCCTGGAAATCGCCGTGACAGAGGGTTTTTGCGAACGCTCGATGGAAAGTACAGACGACAGTCTGCATCTGCGGGAGCAATCATGTTCAGGCGCGACTCGATCTCTTCTTTTTATCGATGGATACCATTGAGAACTGGAAGGCGACGTATAAAAGTATACCTTCCCCGCCTGGTGGCAATCGTAACCGGAAGTTGCCGCGAGGAGCACGATACTCCAGGTTACATAAATCCTCGCGGAGAACCGGTTCCTTCCGAAGACAGAGTAATTAAGGCTATACGGATATTACCGTAACGTTCGATCGTTAACGAAGAAGCGATTGAATCACAGGTGTACGTACCGGCCGTACGCGCGCGGGTAACGACGATAAAACACGAAATTCGCGGAATAGTTTACGCTCCGACGAACCCGTATTTGCATAATCTCGCCGAATATTCACCGTATCCCTCTATTCGCGTTATTTTAGCGGCGACATTCGCCTAAACGGTTACGCCATTTTTCGCGGTACCACCCCGCCGGGCATCCGCGAATCAACGCGATATAGCCTCCGGGGTGTCGATTCTATCGTGGATATATTCGTTATTTTCAAAAATTTGCAAAAATGTTTCGAGTTTATTCAACGTAAAAGGTTCCGATAAACTTTTTCTCTATTTTTTGATAGTAAGCAAAGATTTGAACTAAATATTCATTTCCTGTCTGGTATCGATCAATCAAATTTCTTCGCTCAAGGACCGAATCTAGCGCAAATATATTCGTTATTTGCAATAATTTTTAAAAAATGTTAACGAATGAATGTTGGAGACGATGAAATTCTACGTAAAAAGTTCCCTATAAACTTTTTCTTTACCTTCTATAATATAGAAAGAAAACCAACAACTTGCAGACTGGTTTTAGTTTTACATAAAATTCTATGCAATGAATTATACCTGTACATGCTGATTATATGTATATCGCTTCCTAGCATTCACGAGGAAATAAAAAGAACGCACGGTTACGGAGTTCAAATATGGAACACCGCGAACGTTTCCTCGTTTTATCTTCCGTCTTGTAATTTCCACTATCGCGTATTTCCACTAATTGTACGGTAGTAACTATAACACGCTCTTTGGTAACTTCATACTTAACGAATGAACGTTTTTCTTAAGTTCGTTGAATCAAATTACGAGACAATGAAATAACACGTGCAATCAGTTTTAGAATAGGTCCAAATGTAAAAGAAAATTTGCAGTGCTAACGTACGCGAATGACATTTATCGTCTTACCTCCTATCTTTCTGGTACCCTCCTAATCAAGCACTGGAGCCCCTCAGCACACGGCGAGCTCGCGAAATAGTGACACCACAGGCAGATATCACCGCTGCGCCACTATTTAGCATGATGGCCGTTCGCTGAAGTCTACCAGAAATGAGCGTCGACCGTGAAGATACAAATCGACGAGCGGAATAAGCGACGAACCGGTTGCTTTATGCGCGGATAGACTCGGAGCTGCCGGTGGAACAACGTAAATAACGCAGTGCCGTTAGGTCGTCCTAGCGACGACGGAACGGAAACGGAGTATGTCGGACGTGTATCGAAATATGTTTCCCAGCGAATACAACTACTACCCCGCGCGATTGCTTCGATCAGGGAGGGGCAAAAAGGGACGAGAAATAGTGGAAAATCTTCTATAATAGTGGAAATTTAGAATTATTTCTATTCTTCTTGACATTACTTTGCCTTAAACAACTCCTTAATTTTAGCTTAGTTCGCGTTATCGTAACTCTGTATATTACATTAACGTTAGTCTTGTCTTTTGTTCACGCCTGTTGGAACCCACTGGCCCCCATCTAGCTAGGGTACCCCGGTGTCGCTAAGCCCGTACTGTAGCTGCATATTCGCATGCTACAGCCCCTGAGCTGCTGAGGGTGTTGCACTAACTCGTTGCACTCACTTAAATGCTTGATTCGTCGCAATAACAACGGGACGTCGAGAAGAAAATAAAATAAAATTTCAACTTATTTTCAACTGCCGTTAGCACTTCTTCGAGATTTACAAAAAAAAAAAAAAACCGTTTATTATATTGATAATAATGAATCGCGTTCGGTAAATTACATTCGCTCGAAAATGCGCGAGTTGACGAAATTGCAAGTTAAATAATACTAAGATAATTATTACTTTCGGCCTAACGCTCGATCGCTCGGTATCGCCTTTACTGTTCGAAGTTTTTCGAGGAACTGAACTCGACAACAATAACAAGTCGGGTGAACGGCTCGAGAGTTATTGTCTGTACCGGTACACGTGCAGAGGGCAAAGGGCATACTTGGTTTACATTGTATGGGTGGAATCCACAAATTTTGAAAATCAAAATATCTCCTTACTGTTCGAGACGCATGTAAATATTGTGCAAGAGAAAAAGTCTGGACTGTATCTCCCTCAAATTAATTCCCAAAGACTTTATCTTGGAGTAATTTTACTGCCTGGGCTTTTTAATGGATCACGGTGGAGCTGAGCTGTTATGCAACCGTGTTGACCGTGTTTCTTGCCCGAGCAGAACCGTTTTCACTCGATCTCGAGCCATTGGAACGCGTTCCCGTTTCCGGAAAATGACACGGAGCGCGAGCCCGCGAAACGTTCCTGCGTGCCAACGAGAAGGAACTTCTTTTCGCGAAACTGCTATAGCTACGAAAAGGTCGGGGATCGATGGTTCCGCGACAGTTCGTTCTCCCAGGTTCCTGAAAACGGCCGGTTTTCTCGTCCAGTAGACCAGAACGGTGTGTTAAATGAAAAATTAAGTAGTCGTTAACCTGGCTGGTCGATTCGCACGCCGCGCCGTTGCGCTTTCTTTGCTATCCACTGGATACCTTTGTCTGCACGCGTAGCGCACAGCCTTAGCGGCTCGATTCGACGCTTGGATGTGCACCGGATGACCTAATTCAATATTCGTTTGTACATCGGACCGCTGGCGAGTCTCGTATCGCCAATACGTATCGCAGATATTAATGGATTAATTTGTTCGGTTACATAACAGCGAATTTATAGCGCTTGCGGACGCAACGAACGGTTACGTTTGTAATTAAAATTATATGCATTTTCAAGAAGATACATGCACGGTTTCGTGCTCGATTCCCCAAAACACGCTGAATTTTCTCAACCGAGAGAAAATTGCATTAATAGAGAAATAATAGGCCTCTTTTCCCTCTAAGGATTGCGATCTCCATTTTGGAGAACACTGTTTTACCACAAATATCGAATGGGAGGTGATGAAAGCAAGTGGTAAAGAAGTAGTGGAAGAGTTGCACCTATTCGAGTTGAAGCGTCAAGAGTGAAGACAGGCGACCTAAAGCTTTAGCCTGAAGCAGTTGTCCTAAGCTCTGCCTCTTGGGCCAGAGTCGAACCTTCTCGAATCAATGCAAGTTGCCACGGAAAACTGAAGCTCCTAAGAGTTATCCTAAGTATCCCTAAGTATCACCAGGGAATATTACTAAGCTTGAGTAATCCAAAACTGGGTATGCACTTATCGAGCCTGTTAATAACTACAAGGAACAACGATAACCATACCACAATATTTCACGTCAGCCCGAAGTTAACGTACTAATCTTTCTAAGCATGGACTGACGGCTACGCCTCGCAAATTGCACCATTTGTGTCGAGCCGTGCACATTTTTCAATGCTGAAACAGATAAAAGCTGACGCATTTGCATGCTACTTATTATAGAGATTTATAGTATTTACACAAATGTTAATGGCCGCTATTAATGCGAAACCAACGCTAATTTTCTGCTGATAACGTGTTTACAGCGAAAGGCTATTTACATTTTTTCTTTAAAGTATAATACATCATTAAACATTTAATAACGTTCTGTAGTATCCGCGCCTCCCATACCCAACAATAAGGAGTGAAATAAGAACACGAAACGTTGCGTAAGTAAAGCGGTCGACTGTGGATCCGAGGATCGTGGGTTCGAATCCCCGAGCCTTATTTTTCGTTTAGACTCCTACAGTTCTTATTAGCTGATGTGCTTCCAACCATTTATTAAATACGTTTTGATTAATTTTATCTATAGTTCCTTATAACCCATTCTCTTTTTTATACAGTTTAAGTTATCGTGAATACAGTTGAAAAACTTTAGACTGACGGCAGCAATGAGTAAAATAGAAATAGTCGAAACGCTTGTTAACGAGGTATTTAAACAATTATTTTGTACTGAAAGCCCATTAGACGTACTGATTATTTAATTTTTGTACGACTTTGAGACTCCACGTTATCTTATTTATGCCTTCAAAAATTCCTTGAAATGCTATTATAGTTTTCGTTAACTGTTTCAAATACACCTCGAGTATTATCGCTTTCAAGAACAATATTCATTTTAACAATGTAGTTCCGCTAATGCTCGGACAATATGCGAAGAACTGCAATGACGTGTGTAAATTATTGACAAACGTCATTTGTTGTTGGTTTAAGGAACTGTTGAGTGCAATTATAACTAGACGGTCGACTCGTGAAAAAAATATGTGCTGTCTACTTGCAATGTGCATGACACGTTTATCACTCGTCGATATGCTGCGTTTAAGATTAGGCTGAAAACGTGATTTCGCACGAAACTCGCTTACTGAACTTTAATTTATCAAACTGAAGCCCTCGAATTATAAAAATTGAAAAATATTTGAGTTCTCTTTGACAAGCATTAAATATTATTATTAGATACCTGTTTAACGATGAAGTGAATTGGATGAAAATGAAATAAATAAATTGCGAAGTAATTGGTCAACGCTAACGTGAAGTACGTTCCCTTTTCGGAGAGAAAAGCGCGATTCCGCCGCAGAACTTCCACTTTCCATCTTCGAATAGCACGCGTTGCGTCCCGTTACGCTAACTTGCATCTACAGCCAGCTGCGAACAGCGTGTAAACGAAGGCGAAACGTGTTTGCACTGCCACGAAAACCATAAACGTCCATACAAGGCGCAATTACTTTTACCTGTTGATACACGGTGGCCAAGACCTTACGGAGCCGCTTTCTAGAATCACGAGAGCAACATTTCTTCGCGACTGGTACACCTGACCAATACGAGATTAGTCAAGGTCCAATGGAGACGTCCTCCAGCAATACGGAACTAGTTGCAGCCTGCGGAACAAGGAGAAATTTAATTGGAGGTTTAGATGTTCCATTTCACCCTCGGTTTGATTGTAAATTCCTAGAAAAGTCACATCTAGACTTATCTTAGAAAAACGCGGTATCCTTGAAAGGTCTTACATGGTTTTGTTGGTCACACAAAATAACATTTGAAATAGCTTTTGAAAGCTTATAATCTCAAAGTCGTACAAAAATTAAATAATTATCACGTGTAACGGCCTTTTAATGCAAAATAAGTCGTCGAATTTTTATAGCCAAAAGTATGGGAGAGCCAACCTATTAACCCTTTAAGCTCCAACAGGCTCGTACCAAAATGTAATGTTTACACGTTGGCTCGAACGATACACTACGGACCAGGCTCGTGTTAATCAGTTTTGGCCCGGATATCCGACCACGAGTCTCACACGTGGTTATAGCTTAAGGGGTTACCTGCCTAAATAATCGTTTCTTAAATCCTGTCCTTGTGTATTCTCGCAGGTGGAACTGCAGGTTCGGTTGTGGCATCAAGACTTAGCGAACACCCCTACTGGAAAGTCCTGTTACTGGAAGCAGGCCCCGACGAGCCTCCAGGTGCCGACATTCCCAGCATGGTGGGAATGTTCCTAGGTATGTATGCTTCATTCATCGCGAAAGATGCGTTTCCTTTCGTATAAGGGGGACTTGAACGCTCCGAACGCGATGAAGTGTAACAAACGTTGCACGGAACGGTCCACCGCAGAAGAAAAGAGAAAGGGAATTGAAACGAGACCTCCTATGAGAATGGAGTTTTCGCCCCCACGTGGGAGTTAATTACCCGTTTCACCTGTTCGAAATAGGCAGCGAGCTCGACTGGATGTATACGACTGTAAACGAGCAGAACGCGTGCCTGTCGACCGGAGGATCATGCTATTGGGGACGAGGCAAGGTCCTTGGAGGAACATCGGTGCACAATGGCATGATGTACATGCGAGGACACCCCAAGGACTACAACGACTGGGTGGATATGGGCAACGTGGGATGGTCCTGGGACGAGGTGAAGAACGATGATCGATGGGGGAGAGAGAGATCAGTCCTAGAAAGAACAACTTGTATTAGTGGAGTGGAACACTTCGTGTATTAGAAATATCCACGTATTAGAGTGAACCAAAAGTTCGTGCGTGTTTTACGTTGAAGTCATTAAACTTACTTTATAGCAAGTGAACATTTTGAGATTCGAGTACTTTCACGTAACTATTGGAAGGAAGAGTTTAAAGCTACCGAAGCAGCAAAGAAAATATATTCAGTCTCTTGCTTTCAATAGTGACGTAAAAGTACTCGAATCTCGATATTTTCCATGATTTTACTAAAACGAAAAAAATTAATTAAAGAGTCGTTAACACCGACAAATACAATACAGGGTCGAGTTGAGAAATAACTTAACAGAGGCCCACACCCAGGACTGATCTTTCCTACCTCGCACAGTCAGCGTTGCGAAAATAGAGTATAATCGACGATTTGCCAATCCGCCAGGTCTGATTCACGCCAATAAACCGTGACAAACTTCTTTTTGTCTCTCCGTGAACGCAGGTTCTGCCTTACTTCATGTGCTCTGAGAATAACACAGAAATTAACCGAGTGGGCCGGAAACGACACGCTACAGACGGGTTGCTCAACGTAGGGAGGTTCCCTTCGATACCAGCAATATCCAAAGACATCCTCGCAGCAGCCGCGGAACAGGGTTACACTATTTCAGAGGACCTCAACGGGGACCAATTCACCGGGTTCACGATTGCCCAAGCGATGCAGAAAAGAGGAGTTAGGCATAGCTCTGCATCAGCCTTCCTGCGACCTGTTCGGTACAGGCAGAACCTCCAGGTGGCCCTCAACGCCACCGCTACTAGGATCATTGTTGAAAATGGGAAAGCTGTAGGCGTGGAATACTATCAAGTTAGTATTATTGGGAGAGAACAGTTCGTAGAATGCTAGGTCTGCTAGGTAGCCCTACTGACGAGTCCACTAACAAGCCCAGGACGAATCACTCCTTTACATTCCATGTTTTCAGTACGGTCAACGTCGAGTCGCTCGAGCCAGACTCGAGGTAGTCGTTTCTGGAGGAACGGTTAACTCCCCTCAGTTGTTGCTGCTGTCTGGAATTGGACCAAAGGAACACTTGCAAGCTGTCAACGTCAGTGTCGTTCACGATCTTCCAGGTAAGCAGAGGGTGTCAATGTAACGATAACGATTTATGATCGAATTTTTCATGACGGAATTCATTTTTCTGCATTATCAGGCGTGGGAGAGAATCTACACAATCACGTGTCTTACACCATATCCTTCTCCATCAACCAGCCAAACGAGTACGACCTGTCCTGGGCGGCGGCTGTCGAATACGTTGCGTTCCAGACTGGACCACTGGCGTCCACTGGCCTGTCCCAAATGACAGGAATTATCCCCTCGTCGTACACCACTCCTGACCACCCTGATCTTCAGCTGTTCTTCGCTGGATATCAAGCATCCTGCAGCGCTACTGGAGAGCTGGGAGCCCGCATGAGCAACGGACCTCGAAGCATAAGCATTTCGCCTACGAATCTTCATCCACGCAGCAGAGGTACTGATTGGGGTCTCCGGGTTTTGTAATTTGATAGTCTTTGCATGTTGAGATGGCTTCCGACCGTTAGCTTTAAATGCTCTTCACGATCAGATAAGTTTGGCATGTACCTCGAAGAGATCGAAAATTTACATTTCCAACATGACATTACGTCATTTCCTCATGAATGCCATATCCAGTTTGAGCAAGCTTATTAACCGTGTCTGCTTCCATGTCAGGAACTCTTCGTTTGGCCAGCAAGGATCCCTTCGCCCATCCCTTAATGACTGCAAACTATCTGTCCGACGATCTGGACGTGGCCGTCCTTGTCGATGGAATTAAGAAAGCTCTCGCCTTCAGTAACACCACCACCATGGCGAAGTACAATATGACACTAAGCGAGACACCTCTGCAGGCTTGCTCACAGTACCAGTTCCTCAGCAACGACTACTGGAGCTGCGCCGTGCGCCAGAACACGGGCCCGGAGAACCACCAGGCTGGCTCCTGCAAAATGGGCCCCGCCAGCGACCGCATGGCCGTGGTGAACCCTCGACTATGCGTACATGGCATCAAGGGACTGCGGGTTGCTGACATGTCCATCGTGCCGCGGGTACTACGATTTATTACCTTCGCTCTTCCAACTGTTACATTCATAGTTCAATCAGAAACATACCAAATTAATTTCTCTCTTCACTCTTAACATAATTGATAAAAACCAACGCGATATAGAATGTTGCAAAAGCTTTGCTCATCGTGTCTAGTCCTGTCGGTTTTTGATTCTTTTTCAACAATAGAATATACTTTTCTCAGTATTTACGTTTATGTCATTCGGTAGTTCAGTAGTGCAAAAATTACGAAACAGTAGCCGGTGACACGAAGTCGCTTCTGTGTAAAGTTGCCGGTCAACGATGTGTTAAGAATATTTGAAAAATGAAAAGAACTTATCCGTTTCATTTCGCTGCGTTCGATGAACTAAACTAACGGGGAAATGTTTTGCGTAGCTGATGTCCAGCAACACGGCCGCTGCTGCGATAATGATCGGCGAGAGAGCGGCAGCCTTCATCAAAGAGGACTGGGGTGTCAGCGGAACACAATGGTACGGGTATCCCCACCCTACCCCCGCATGGAAAGCCTCAAACCTACGGAAAGGGTATCATAGTCACTAGCAATTTGCCATGTTTCGTAGTTCCCGTTCTACGATCGACAACTCGCTGGATCTATTGCTCTGGGGGATCAAGTACATCGACTGGGATCAGAGTATCTGGTAGCCAAGATCCTCGATCGATCTAGTCCACGATTCAGCCGAGTCTCGTTCGCCAGGCGAATTTACCGAGTAACGTCGCCAAAGAGACGCCCCCACGAAAGGATGCCTGCCTTTCCCTTCGCCAACGTGATCCAGAGTCGATCGAAGCGCGTGGAACGAGAAAACCAACGAACACCGACACTAGCCTTCGTCCAACTGTTACCGATATCGTTACCACCGCGATCTTCCTGCGACCTCTGCTCTCGTGGCGCATGGTCGAGTCCGCGTCGAGCCCACGTAACTCGAATCCGACCCGAAACTCACTTCGAGACTTTGTTCGATTCGGATGCGTTTACGCATGCTCGAATCTCTGTATGCCATTTCGTGAGATGTTTCCTCTCTTAAGCGAATAAAGATTGAGTTGTTGCAACGACAATTTCACGCGATGCATCGATCTGCTTCTGCACGAGCTTAAAATAGTACTGAAATTAATTCTCATCCGTCCACTTGTTATCTGAAAGTATTAAATCCAACGCAAACGAATTTCAGACGCAGAGATTAGATTCTATCAAGGTAACATCGTTGTTACATGATTATATTTGCGCGGTTGTTTGTCACTGTCTCCAAATTGGTTTTATGTAGATTCACGTGTTTGTGTTGCTTCACGTTGAAAAACAAAAGGGACGTCAGATTCCGAGAATCGGATACGTCCCGTCGCTTGTCCTCAATTTGAGAAAAACTTCCATAGTTCGTGCAAGTGAAATGATGCAGATAGACTATGTTACATTTCGAACAGTGTCCCGCTCCTGATTGCCGTCAGTGGTTTTTTAACGAGTTCATCGTGCTGATTAGTCAACCATAATACGTTCGTCAAGAACGTCGAATGACCAACGACGTTGTAGTCGAACCGTGACTAACAGGCTACAAAATAATGTCCCGATTAGCTACCGTCCGCGATGGAAGTTCGACACTCCATTGGCTAGATCTTAACCGAGCAAAAATTGAAATTCTAACGAGAGCTTCGAGAAAGGGAGCTTTAACCACTTCTCAAGACCAAAGAGATTCGGTACTGCCCGCGTCCAGGAGCAGCCAGCCAATAAGTATAAGTTAGCTCGTCAGCGATACGGGAGAAAGCAACATCGGCGACTGTAAATCAAAATGTTGTAAATAAAATAGTATCTATGACAGAACTGATTTGGCCACGAGACAGAGCTGTCACCTGCCCCCCCCCCCGTCCCGCGTCAATTTAAACGTACCCGCCGCAATTCATGCGGTTTCCACGATGCACAATCTATCACCACCAATAAACGTTAGATAGCGCGGTCTGCGTTTCGCATACACGGTCGCATTATCGATGGAAATGCTTGTTCTAGAGAATTTCTTATCATCTTCATAAATACTTTCCTCGTAAAATTATGAGTATATAAAGGTATTTACGCGAACGTTTAAAGCCAGTTGCGAGTGCAAGGCACTGCTCGTTCTAGGGACGTTCCCGGGAACAAGTTTGCACACTGTACGCGCGTCCTTTGGCCAACATGGTATGTCAGCAAAAATTTGTTATCTCTATTTTGTTCGAGTGAATCATGTTACGATATAATTGCTAATGCATTATGCAAGCCGATGTGGTGCAAAACGCCTGTAATCTTATCACGGCCGGTTTCAGAGTTGCACTTTCAGCGGATTACCACAGTGTCCGAATCCCTACGCTGGAGGGCCTCAGCTCACCGAGGTTTGCGCCGCGAATTCGGCCACCGCTTTCATAGCGCTGCTCAATTCTCTTCTGATTGTAAACACGAAAATCAACGATCCATGCGGCCGTGTCCAATCAGTCCCCGCACCGGCTGCCGAGTATGATTTCATCGTGGTGGGCGGTACGTTCGAAACGCAACTATACCAGCGAACTGTCAAACACTGATTCTGATGAAACTGCAAGGGAGAAGGTTCGCCCAACCTTGTTGTAGATGGCTTTAGCAGAAGCTTTAGAACTATCGAGTCTTCATTCATCAGAATCCTCGACTGACACCTTCATCCTACTGTATCTGTGAAATTTTTAACTCGACAGCTGGAGCTGCTGGTCCCGTGGTGGCTTCGAGATTATCGGAGATAAGCAATTGGACGGTCCTGCTGGCCGAAGCTGGCCCAGACGAGCCATCCGGAGCAGAGGTGCCGAGTTTTTTTCAGCTCTTCCTAGGTGAGGAAACCTTGTTTCTCCAACGGTGCATTAACCAAACGAATATAATATCTTTGCGTCTCTGTGCACAGGAAGCAGACTGGACTGGAAATACTACACGACCAACGAGACCTCCGCCTGTCTAAGCACGAATGGCAGTTGTTCCTGGCCGCGAGGTAAAAACTTCGGAGGATGCACGGTCCACCACGGTATGGCCTACCATCGAGGTCACGCCAAGGACTTCCAAAACTGGGTGGACATGGGCAACGAGGGATGGTCCTGGGACGAGGTATGCGGTCGATATAAAAATCAGGGCAAATCGAAAATTATTCAGAATTTCCTGACATACGTGAAAATTGCGTTTCCTAGGTCCTGAAGTACTACAAGAAATCAGAGGACAACAGAGAGATTGGCAGAGTCAGCCCCAAGTACCACGCCACTGGTGGACTCTTGACAGTGGAAAGGTTCGTTAACCCTTTGATCAAGTATAAAATTCCTTGCGTCCTTTCATACGACGTGCCTGACTTGTATTTTTCATCTTCAACTCAAAGTCTCTGCCACGAATCTCGCACGTTGTTATAGGTTAAAGGATTAATTAGTGTCCCTAAGGATATAGGTGAAAGGAGACTCTTTTCATTCCGCCAGATTCCCTTGGCAGCCTGAGTTCACCAACGCCATCATGGAGGCCGCAGAGGAGGTAGGATTCGGTATCACCGAAGACATGACCGGCGACAAGATTACCGGATTCACGGTTGCTCAGACCATCAGCAGAAACGGTGTCAGGCTCAGCAGTGTCTCTGCATTCATCAGACCTTTCACCCATCGCGAGAATCTCCACGTAGCTTTGAACGCCATGGTCACGAAGATCACGACCAAGGAGAAGAAGGCAACTGGCGTTGAATTAGTAATGGTAATGTGTTTCAAAACCTTAGCTAATATCAGTTTTGACTCAAGTACCTTAATTTTGAGACTGCTTTTGCACACAGAATGGGAAAAAGTACGTTGTCAAGGCGAAACGAGAGGTGATCGTGTCTGGAGGCACGATAAATTCCCCTCAGCTGCTGCTTCTGTCAGGAATAGGACCGAGTAAGCATTTGTTGGAAGTAGGTGTTCCCGTCGTTCACGACCTGCCAGGCGTCGGTGAGAATCTTCACAATCATCAGTCCTACGGAGTAGACTTCACCTTGAATCAGCAGTACTCCGCGGAGCTGAACGATGGAAGCGCGTCGCAATATCTGTACAATCAGACTGGACCAATGTCTGCCACGGGCTTGGCCCAGGTGACTGGTATCCTGACTTCCAAACTCACGACTCTAGACGACCCTGACATCCAAATCTTTTTCGCTGGCTATCAAGCCATATGTCGTACCAAGTCAGCCATCGCCGACTTAGAAGGGGATGGTAATAAGACCACCGTCAGATTCTCAGCAGTCAACCTGCATCCTCACAGCAGAGGTTCGTCCATCTTCTGAAAGCGTCTTAACCGTTTGAGTACCAAGGAGCGATATATCGCTCCTCCATACATTTGCAAAAAGGGCCAAGAGCGATATATGCTTGCTATAACTCTTTGCTTAAAATTATCTGGCATTTCTCGGACATGTATAAAAATTTCCTCTGGCACTCAAAGGGTGCAATTGATACAGTGCTCGTTATTTTATACGTTTCGTTTTAATCCGTATTCGCAGGTCGCATCACGCTCAAGGATAAAAATCCTTTCACCCATCCAAACATCTGGAGCAACGATCTCGGCACCGAACACGACGTCGATGTGGTATACCAGGGACTTGAAAACATCTTCAAGCTGGCTAATTCGACAGCGATGAAGAAACGCGGCTTGAAATTAAGGCACGAGACCACAAAAGAGTGCAGCAAACACGAAATGGGTAGCGAGGATTACTGGAAGTGCGACATTCATTGGAACACAAGACCGGAAAACCACCAAAGTGGCACTTGTAAGATGGGTCCAGCCTCTGATCCAATGGCGGTGGTCGATCCTCGATTGAGGGTCCACGGAGTGAAAGGACTGAGAGTGGTCGATGCCTCCATCATGCCACAAGTATGATTTAAACGATCGATATCGCTTTACGTAGCGCAGAATCCATGATGTTAATTCGTTGCATTTCGTTTTGCTTGTTTAACAGGTTATATCTGGTAATCCTCATGCTCCGATCAATATGTTTGGAGAAAAGGCTGCAGACATGATCAAGGAGGACTGGGGAGCTATCTAGCAAAAATATCGATGGTTAACATAATACTATGAGAACGTGCAACTGTGAATACTATAAATATTACCGACGCGAGGTTGAGAAATTAGCCTCTAAATCATTTTCAATAAATAATTATACGCTTTATCTATAAATACGTGTGTGTTTTTATTTTTCATCCTGTTCCAAAGATAGGAGTCCCTTCGATACAACTTGACAAATTATTCAGCAGTCTCGATCGGGTTTATTTTAAATTGGGAGATTGAACTTGCCGTGCTCCGTTAAACTGTGACTAGACCCGGTTATGAGATCGATTCGTGTCGTCGCATAAGAATCGCCCAGAATTGGGATAGTAAAAGTCAAATCGACTGCGAAATAAGATCAAACTAAGATGGCCCTTAAAACTTGTATTATTAAACTATAGTTTCCATTTTGAGATAATCCCTGAATCTACTTGTATAGGACGCACCACGGCTGCAGTTTTTCAGACAAGAATTAGCAGTACCATTTGCATTAAATATTGTTCTTAATTAGGTGAAGAGCTATTGAGAGAGCGTATTCTTCAATGGCCCTCTCATTGTTGGAATCATTCAAGTCGCCACAGTCCAATGAAAACTAAATTTGGTTAATGGATAAATATTCTACCGTATCCATTAACGTCTAATTAATTAATTAACTTGCCACGCGCTCGTGGCTTTCATTGAACGAAGGAAACTCGAATGTTTTCATTAATAAGTGCCATTGACACAAGTTGAGTAGAGTGCCTACTTACTAGACTAGGAGTAAAGTTACAGTTAATTCTCGTCTGCGATCTCGCAGCACTCGTACGTCGTGCACAAGTTACCCGGAATAACCAATGCTCTTTTGGTGACGTATAAAAATACCTCCAGTACATTTTGATTGGCTTTAGGGGAGGAGATTACGAAGTTCGTCTCCTTCAAAGGATGATAAGGAAGTGTTTGCGTGTTTACAGATGAAGCCATATAATCATTTATTTAAACATGTAGACTCCGATCTCTCCACTTTACGACCCTAATGCTTATATTATCCTTTGGTATATTTCCATATTTTTGTTATAGCCAGTCAGTAATAGTCCGTTTCTGTTAGATGGGCTGTCCCCAGTCTTGTTTGATCATGTCTGCAGCCTTTTCTCCGATCATATTGATCGCAGCAACTGGATTACCCGATACAACCTGTTAAACAAGGGGAAAAAGAATGAACGAAAATCGTAGATTCGATGAACGCTAAAGCAATCACTAGGTAAACGATTGAAATCATACTTGTGGCATGATGGAGGCATCGGCCACTCTCAGTCCCTGCATACCGTGCACCCTCAATCGAGGATCAACGACTGCCATTGGATCGGAGGCTGGGCCCATCTTGCAGGAACCGCTTTGGTGGTTTTCTGGTCTCGTGTCCCAACTAATGGCGCATCTCCAATAATCATCGGTGCCCATGCAGTATCGGGCGGTACACTCTTTTATAGGTTCGTGGGCCATTTGCAGTCCACGTTTCTGCATAGCCGTGGAATTAGCCAGTTTCAGGATGGAACGTATACCAGATACGATGATGTTTGCGTCTATCTCGGAGCCGATATCGTTACTCCAGATGCTTGGGTGGGAAAATGGATTGTTGTCCTTGAGCATGACGCGACCTATGAGTAAGGATTCGAAGGAAAAGTGTAAAATAGCGATCGTCGAATCGGTTGAGACGCTTTAGAAACTGAACTCGCCTCTGCTGTGTGGCTGCACGTTGACAGAGGTGAATTTGACGGTCATTTTGTTATCGTAAGTCCTCAAGTCAGGTACGGTTATCTTAGGGGTGCATACGGCCTGGTAGCCAGCGAAGAAGATTTGGATGTCTGGGTCGTCGGGAGTCGTGTACTCGGATGCCAGTATACCAGTCACTTGCGCCAAGCCCGTGCCAGACATTGGTCCAGTCTGATCGTACAGATATTGGTTCATAGATTCCGACGTGAATAATGAGTAGGCTTGCTCGTCCAAGGTGAAGGCAATACCGAAAGACTGATGGTTGTGGAAGTTCTCGCCTACACCTGGGAGATCGTGAACGACGGGAACGTTCATGGACTGCAGGTGTTCTTTGGGTCCGATTCCAGACAGAAGCAACAGCTGTGGCGAGTTTATCGTGCCTCCGGACACGATCACTTCTTTTTGAGCCGTCACGATGTAAGTCAATCCGTTCTGGGCATAATATGGTTAGTCGAAGGTTAGTCAAAGGCAAATCGAGTGGATAACGAATCTTATGGGAACCGTTACCATAATTAATTCAACGCCGATCGCCGTCTTTCCATTGGTGATTATCTTCGTGACCATAGCGTTGATGGCTACGTCGAGATTCGGACGATTGGAAACTGGTCTGATGAACGCAGAGACACTGCTGAGCCTGACACCATTTCTGCTGATGGTCTGAGCAACGGTGAATCCGGTGACCTTGTCGCCGGTCATGTCTTCGGTGACACCGAATCCTACCTCCTCTGCGGCCTCCATGATGGTATTGGTGAACTCTGGTTGCCAGGGAAGCCTGGTGGAATGAAAACAATCTTCGTAGACCCACGTTGCTTGGGAGAGTATCCAAGAAGATCTCTCGAGTGAAAAATGTTGCTTCGACAAACCTTTCGACGGTCATGGGTCCACCCTGAGCGTGGTACTTGGCGCTGACTCTTCCAATTTCCCTGTTGTCCTCTGATTTCTTGTAGTATTCCAAAACCTACAAAACCCCGTTTTCAGGTGAGTCAGATGAACGTTTTCGTCTCGTTTTGGTTCGTATATCGACTGTATACCTCTTCCCAGGACCATCCTTCGTTGCCAGCGTCAACCCATCTCTCGAAGTCCTTGGCGTGACCTCGATGGTAGGCCATACCGTGGTGAACCGTGTTTCCTCCGAGGTTTTTACCTCGGGGATAGTAACAACTACCATTCGTGTTTAGACAGGCGAACGACTCATTGGTCGTGTAGTATTTCCAGTCCAACTCGCCTCCTACGTAAAGGAACGCGGGGATATTACGTTCGTTCGGTGAACGCACTGTCTGAGAGAGTGAAAGGGTTCGTTACCGAGGTAAAGTTGAAGATTAGCGGGCACTTCTGATCCCGCGGGTTCGTCTGGGCCTGCTTCGACCAGAAGAACTTTCCAACCGTTTACTTCTGACAATCTGGAAGCTACTACAGCGCCGGCAGCTCCAGCTGTGTTGTGAAAAAATGTGAATGTGTAATACGACGACCAAGGTGTACTTTGATTTGTCAAACTTTGAATGAATGTCAGTGGTCTGACCTAAGAACTATGGCGTGTTTCTGATATCTTTTCAATTAGAAGACAGGGCCTTTCATTTTCTAGGCAACAAGGAACAAAGGAATTTTAATTAACAACATTTTGCTCCAGAAATATCACATACAATTCTTACGTTAGACTACCGAACACTCATCCTAATCTGAGTTTGACGCTCTATAAACTTGGATCATACCGCCCACGACAATGAAGTCGTACAGACTAGCTGGTTTATCAATTGGTTGGATACGGCCACATGGGTCGTTGATTGGCGGGCTTAGGATTAGAAGAGAATTCAACAGAGACAGGAACACGCTAGCCGAACTCGCAGAGCACACGTCCATGAGCTGTGGTCCCCCTGCGTAGGGAACGGGGCACACCTGCGACTGGGACACGGTTATACCGAGTCCCTGAAATGGTCCACGACAAAATTATTGCAAGTCAATTGTATAAAATAAAAGAAGCAGTTCTTGTTTACATACCACGTTGGCCGATGAATGCGCGGATTGGAGAGAATGGACCATCGTTGAATGTGCGGCGTCGAGCTTTTCGACTGGCTGCCAACCTTTGCTCGCCACCCTCTTTTATACTCGCAACTCTTCGCCAACGATATGCACGAAAACGATAAGGATACACATGTTTCTTTTCGTAAAGAACATGCATCTCATAGATAACACTATGACGCATACACAATGCTGTCCACGCTATCTCACGTTTTATTGATGAATCGCATGTTTTATTCGACGACAGGTGACGTTGTTCTGTCATGAAAAAATATTTCTCTTTTGTATTGATTTATTAGTCGAGCAATTTCCACCGAGTATATTTGACCAGTGTCCAATGGAAATGAGTTATTTACGCGTGTTGTCTCGAGTCTTGCCATCATTTACAACTTCTAAATACATTGCCGATTTATATATGTCATTTTTTTGTGAGAACCGTAACAGAACTAAAAATGGCGTTACTTCTGCAAGCGTGCATTAGAGAGTCTCGAGTTATTCTGTAAACAGGTTTGACCGATTCGCAAGAGTATCTATAAATCGGGACAGGTGTTCTTCTCGTCAAACCCTGAAACGTCAAGACTTTAAACCCACCGGGGGGATTTCGCTGGAACTTCCATCCCCTTCGTTCGAGAACGAATATTTACCCAACGAAGGGGACGCGAAGCTCTAAGGGTCGAGGAGCGACAGATTCGTCCGAATCAGGAGCAAAAAGGTCGCGACCTGGGAGAAACCAATTTCGTTGACTCTTTTCGAAGCGCAATAAAGCGCAATAACGCGGTTTAATTAAAATTAATAACGACTCCGCTGGATGCATCCGAGATTGAAGAATGGAATGGAGGTGGAAAAGCGTGGAGAGGATGCACTTGACCTCCTTAGAGTCTGACGCGCACATGCTCGCACGCTGCGCACTGGGAAGTCCGATTTCGCGACCCTTTGCCTGACCTCGGTGCCCATTCGACCGTCTAAACTTTTCAGCGACTGGCCACGCAGTCTTCGAGTGTGCATTAACTATTGCCTAGAAATAATCTCTCCTTCAAAGCCCAGCTGCGCAGCCAAGCTGATCGCTCGACACCGATTGTCTGCGCTCTCGAATCTCAAGGCGTGAACGCTCAAGACGGTAGCCGCGAGATGCTTGTACGTGGCATTTATCAATACGCGGAGCACAAGTAGAGAATTGATACTTGGTACTAATCGAACTCGAGGGCTTAGTAATTTAGTCGGTTAAAAATGATTTGGGTATTGAACTTTGTCTTTATTTTCCATTGTAAATATGTACATGAATAAACTTTACACATGTATATATTTACAATTACAAATTTGTTTGGAAACACGAAGCATTCGCCGTAAATTGGACAAATTTCTTCAATAAATATAGAGGGTACGAATACTTATGGGACTGACTGTATATCTCGAAAAGGTGCAACGAGATGTGTAGAATTAAATAAAATGCAGTTTCTTCTTGATAGTGTACGAAAAGTCTTCCAGAGTAGTAAACGACGGAATATATTAACATTGTACGGTACGTACACCTAATTAGAATTAGTATACTAAGGCATTACATCACTGTAGTTATGAATAATGATGTGAACCAAGTCGTTACGATTTGCATAGCGGTAGAATTTTTAATTCGTTACATACGTATCGGTGCGCAACGAAGTTTTTTCTTTGAAATGCTTGTTTCAGTATACCAATTGCGAGCAGGTTAAGTGTACCATTTGAAAGCTCGACAATGTTAAATGCTCAGTTTACTGCTCCGAAGAATTACAATAATCTTTAATATAAAGTAACATCGGTGATCATAGGTCCGTGCAATGGACTGTATGAAACGCGTTGGCTACGAGTCGAGCGATAACGGCGGCCCACGAACGGTTGCATTCTGGATCAACGTTATTGTCAGAGAAAAATACAAAACTGGTAAAGTCGATGACGAATATAACGTTAATTTATTTTAGTGGCATGCATCCAGGGCAACTGAGCAAGGCAGTCCTTGGTTTGTGCTCACCGTTGCGGTGAACCGGATGCTTTTACATTCACCGAGAAAATGGCAGCTGGGGTCGATCCAACGCTCCCAGAATATCGCGTATGTACCTGAGCCTCGCGCACTTGCCAAGATAATTCCAATGTCACCGCGGCTGTTCGACGCGAGCGTATCGTTGTATCGGTATTTGTTGTGAAACTATTCCCAAGATCCTAATCATCGCACGCGCTCACCGAGATAATACCACTCATCGCTTCTATCCGACATTACGTACACGCTGATCCACGTAATTGAAATCACTCGGGCAATTTCGTGCCCGTTCAATTTATCGAAGCGCGAGATCGAGCGCGATAATGTTCTCCGGTAGCCTTCTGATGCGTCGGGAGAACACGAATTCCTAGGTCGATATTTTTCATACGATACTTACGACACTATCGAAGGTCATTTCAGGTTAACGTATCGAATTTCCCATTAATGTTGTATTCAAAAAATAAATTATCATACTCGCGAATATACTATGAATATGGTAATTTTTTGTTAATTTGTATCTGGGAAGTCCAATGCTCGGCTGAAAGCAAATCACATATGCCCTGTGAAGTTAGACGATATAGTTGCCAATTGTATAAAAACAAAATTTTAGCTTTGTATGTATTTTCATCAGTATATCTGGCACTGAAAGTGTTAACATGTACTTCAAAGTATTCATACTAATTTCCCTCGACAGCGCATTTCCCTTTACTCTCGCAGATCTCGCCAAACCAGATCCAAGGGTCAAATAACTACCTCCCCCACGTTCGGGGATGGATCAATCCGCACGCGCCGGAGTATCGCTATGATTCCAATGCAACGCGATCACTCGCTGGGTTGCTGGTCACGTCGATGAAATTATTTCACTCGCCATCGCGGCTCGGCTGGGTACTTGTTTTGCGAACACAACGCGGTTTAATAGAGGTTTAATCGGATCGCAACGCGAGAATCGAGAGTAGCTTAAGTGCTGACTGCTTGACGCGGATTTCATCCAATTTGCCGCAAATTTAACGGGTGCATTTAATTACCTGCACACGCGTTACGGGGAACCGACACTCGATCCCCCGACGATCTATTAACTCGAACTATGGAATTATTAAAGCGGATCCGCCCGCGGCGCGTCGCGTCGCTTCGCGTACGATTCGCGACCAAGAATCGATACTTCTTCGGCGACGCGGTGTCGCCACGGTACGCCGGAAAAAAACTCCGTCCAGTTAATTAATTATCGTCGAATCACTGCACCGTAAAATTCCGTGCCCAACGATTCGTTCGGCGTGACTGCAGCCACGGTATTCGACTGAGATTTAATTGAATCGGAACGCGGCGATCGACCGACACCCGGAGCGCTTTGGTGGTTCGATCTTCATTCAAGGCTGGGGGGTCGTTCACTCGATTTCGAGGGGCATGCTTTCTTGGGCGTGGTACGGGTAGCGAAATTCATAATTTGGTGGGCAGTTTGGGAAACAGCCGTCACGAGGAGAGCATTATCGATACGTTCTTCTCAACTGGTACTTACAGTCAATCCCATAAATATTCGTACCCTCTGTGCTTATCGAAGAAGTTTGACTAATATATTTATGGGACTGACTGTATTTAATTTCTTTCCAAGAATCGAAAATCCAACAACGAAAAATAAGTATCTTGCTACACTTTTTTTACTTTTTCCGCGAATCGGTGGTAGGAAACACGGTGTTACTGTTGGACAAATCGGTAGATGCGAACGTAGGTAGATCCCTTAACCACAGGACCAGAAGCGAGCGACGAAATACCGCGCAGACGATGACATAAACAAATTATAAATAAAACATAGAAGATCTCGGAGACGCGGATAGTTGCTCGACCGTGGCGTACGCCATCCGCGACGTGGTGCTCGTTGTCGTCGTGCCAGGAGCGTAACGACTGCTTTGAATTTCATGAGGGTGCGAATGAATTCATGGGGGGTTGGCGGGGCGGTTTACCCCAGAGTCTCGACGACTTCAAACGCCTCTCGTGACTCTCTGTCCCTCGGAACGCGCCAGCGTCAACGCGGACATTTACAGGAGTCGAAGTCTAATTCGGCAAATAATAAACCCTACCACCTTCTCACCCAAACATGTTGCCGAAAGTGATTTTATTGGTAGAGTTCGATTCGAGATATAAAAAATAGCCTTTCCTCTTATAATAGATGATAGTTTCATGAGAAAACAATACTGATCCTGTTGCCAGCGAAATTCGATTATATCTCAATTATCTAAATGATTCTAACGTAATTAACGACGAGGGAAGACATCGATCGCGCAAGGCAATCAAATGAAAGGTGGCATTAGGTCGACTAATCTGTTCGATGATACGCGAGTCTTGGTCTGGATAAAAACAGCCTTCGTTGCCAGGTATCGATCTAAACGAACGCGTCGATGCTTCGGAAAAGGTTTATCGGTCGCAACGCGTCGAAAGATTCCCCGGGAACAGACGTGCTCCTTTCGATATTTAACCTACCGCTTAAGGTACGAATACCTCGTAAGTTATGAGGTTATCCGTTCGAAATCTGTATTATTCTTCGCTTATTAGAAGCTGAGCGTACCGAAAAAAAGGGAAGTTTGAATTTAACATTATTTCATCACGCTTCGAGCACGACTATCGAGATATATCTATAAGTACCGAGTCGCATAAATTGGAGCGAAATGTCATTGGGACATCTATGTGTAGAATGTAGTGGAATATGCAGAATTTGCAATATATAGCAGATCACGGTGCATGCAATAACCAATGTAACCAATCCAACGAGAAGGTGTTCCACTTACACAACGTACCTCCACTTTGCATGGCCACCACTGCTCGCTTGCATTCCTCTGCAACTGTACTCGTTAGCTAGTGACCATCCCTTCCATTCGTGATAATAGTGGACACGCTTACCCCGTCTCGTTCCGCAAGAATTATTCACAGTGTACTTACCTGTAACAAATTGAAGAATATGGTTAGAAAAAAATGATTAAATGCAAGAAAATATAGATTCGACCGTCCCATCAAATAAAAGTACTGGTCCATATGTTACCCGGATAAACTGTCCATCGTGATCGTTATTCAAAATGACGTCGAGGAAGACGGTGTCGTCGAGGCGACTCGGAGAATCGACGGTGAATCCTCTCG